CCCCAAAACCCCAAAACCCCAAAACCCCATTTGATAAAATTCAACATAAAATCTAACGAATATACAAATCAGTTAAAATTTATTTGTGCTATAAATGTCTTAAAGTCCCTTCCAATATACTTACTAATCAGCTTCTCTTGCTAATCGAGATACTTCACCTATCTGTATCCGCCAGAATTAGGAGAGTGATTTTCAAAGTCCACCTCCCACCAGCTCTCAGTTTGTTAACTACCAAATATCTGACTACAAAAATAGAAACCTATGCAAATCTAATGGCAATTATTAATAACACACAAATACCGCTTAATAATTGCTAAGGCCATCAGAAGTCTAGATTTACTAAACTACTTACAAAAAAGAACCTTTAGCTGTACACTTTAGAGGAAGTAGTTAAGCTTAAAACTTCTCACCAATTCACTCAAAGCATAAGATTTATGTGGAAAGTTGTGATAATGACGTAAATCAGAAAACTAATCATAGTTCAGTAGATGAAAGTGATTCCTTTAATAGCAACTCTCTAAACACGACACCTCTTATTAGAAATAGCATGAGAAAAATTGAGGCTGATAACTCTCATAATTCTTAGAATGATTAAAGCTTAAACGATTCATCTCATCAACACTGCGAACTCATCAATCACTATGGGGATGGCTATCATAATTAGCTAAATGAGTCTGTCAGAAAGGCCATTGAGAAATATAAGGAATACAAAAATGAGATCAGCTTTACACTTCAATCTTAAAATTCATCTAGAGCTTATTATGATGGGCAGTTTGATGAAATGGATCAGGTCAATGATATTAGTGGTATCATAAATAAAAATGAGACTGAAATTGAACATGATTCAATCCTTCGCACTCCAATTTCTCATAAATCCATGTACAGATCCCAACATCAAGAAGCCAGAGAAATTAATCACCAAATTATTAACAATCAGAATATTTAATCAAAGCCATAAACGTTTACATATCAAAATATCCATTATTCCCAATAGGATAATAACATTGGTAAAAAACCCATTCACCAAGTATTTGAATATAATTCCAAATATAATTAGCAATAGACTCTTAAATCACTAGCTCCAGAAAAATTAGATACAGTAGAGCCCAGATACAATCAAGAAGAACTCAAAGATGTGAAGAGAAATCTTTATGAGATTGAATTCAAGAATATTGATGTAAAGTAACCTGAATATGTTCCACCAACTACATACCAGAGAAATTATAATTATGCTCCCTAATACACATCATATAGTGATTACAAACCACAGACTTATCAAGAAATTGAGCCATTGAGAGAAGTCTATAGAGATTATGATAGAAAGTAACCTCTAGATGTGATTTTAGAGACTCCTGCCAGAAGAATCACAAATGTTAATGATAAAAGTCTATCAAAGGAAAAAATAGGAAGTATCTATATAAACTAGGAACATTCAGAAATATAAAATCAGAAAGAAGAAAATCCTATATCATCAAGAGCATTATCTGATGCACCAACAACTCTTGATTCAAATAGACAGTTTGAAAATATACAGGTATAGACACCACCAAGAGCTAGTTATCTAAAGGAGGCTTCGATTATACCTTCTCCTCAATAAATATCAACAGATTCTCCTCATTCAACAAGCTCCAAAGATGATGGCTACAAAGATCTCTATAGAATGATAGCAGACTTGAGAGAAAAAGTTAATACATAATAGAAAATCATCAAAGAGAAAGAGGTGGAGTACGAAGCTCTCCAGAGAGAAAAAGAGTAGCTAAATATGTAACTAGACAGTTAAGAAGATCAGATTGACCTATACGCTAGATAAGATAAAATTTAGAGGCAAATTATTGAAGAAAAAGAAAATGAGATTTAGCTGTTGAGACTAGAACTATAATAAAGTCTTGAGGAAAGAGATTATCTGCAAAGGCAACTAGAGAATTTAAAGGTAGAACTGAAGCAAGAAATAAAGCATACCGAAACTGAGAGAGCTAAGCTAAAAGAAATGGATGAAGTAATGGAGGTATGCAAAGAATAACTTCATAACTTTGATTCTATAAATGTGATGAGTCAGCAGGTCATTGAGAGGCTTGAGCGTCAAGTAGGCGAATATAAATTTGAACTTGATATGGCTTAAACAACCATTGAGAAGTAGCATGATATGTACTATAAACTTGCATAGACCATAGAATATGATACTACTTAAAAGTCTTAATAGGCAGCATTCTAAACACCAGTTTAATAGTAATAGTTACAAACATATGTTCCTGTCTATCAAAGTTCTGAGCCTATTCTAGAAATAAATAGATTAGAGCCACTAAATAATAAGGTAACTGAAATCGGAAATTAAAGATATGAAACATATCGCAGAGTTAATGATGGTTATCAATCATAGGAGCAAAGCCAAATCAAATGTGAAGAAATATAAAACTATGACTAGTTTAGAACTTTTGAAAGAGGGCCAGTTGAAAGAGTAGAGTTGAGGGAAACAGTTTAAACTCTATTTTTTAGTTCTATTCAGGATTAAAATCAAATGGTCAGCAGTCCAACTAACTAAATCAGATAGGCTAATGTTTATAATTACTTTGAGCAACCAGCAATTTAAACAGCCAGAAGAATTCCATTTAACTCTGATAATTCAACTATTAACATTGGAAACAACACATGTTTTGATGAATCATCCATTAGTTAATTTTAAGGGAAAAAGTCTCTTTAAATCTCTCAGAGAATGGGAGGAATTGAATCGTCTGCTTTGAAAAAGAAACTAGTAGCTAGCCCCTTAAAAAATACTGCTAACAGACTCAATAAGCAAAGATAGTAGATGCTTGATCAGTAATGGAGAGTTGTTGAGTAATAGCAGCTATATCATAAGGAAAATAACCTATTGTGAATAAATTGGCAGCAATCACCAAAATGTTTATTGATAATGATGCATTAGTATTTATCTACTTTAATTCCTTTAACTACTTTCATGCCAATCAATAAGTTTACTTCCTATTTCTACGGTTGAATTTATTCATTATTAAATTAAGTTTAAATATGTGTTAATTAAAATCAAAATCACTCAAGATCTATTATTAAAGGTAACCCTTCATGCGATGATATTAATACCCTTTTCAGCTAATTTTTGTTTCTTTACTTCAATAGGCCTTTTGTCTTTCTTGAGATTCTTTTACTTGGATCTTGTCTTAGTTCTGAACTTCTTCTAAGGTATTTCACCTCCCTTTTCTTTCGCATATTGCTTCAATTCCTCTGTCTTCATCTCATCGAATTTTTTAATTCTCATATATATTTTAGACTTCTCCTGTTTAACTTTCAACTAATCTTCCTTGTCTAGATTTTGTAAATAAACATGAACTTTAGGCTTATCATCTTCAACTTTTGCCTTGTCTTTGTTTTTACTTTGATCCTTATCAATGGCTTTATTGCTTTCCTACAAAGTCTTAGCTTTCTCTTCAGATTTTTTCTGCTTTTATTTTTCTTTTTTTACTCTTTTCTTCTCCTTATTACTTTCAATCATATTAGTCTTACTATCACCCGCTGCTTATTTTTTCTCAATACCTGTAAATTTGCTTTCTTGATCATTTTTCACTGCATTCTTATTCAGCTTTTAACCCTCATTATTCTATTTATCCCCTGTTTTGATCTAGTTTTTTAACTTTTAAACCTACTCCATAGCTAATCTTTCTGATTGAGTCATATTTTTATCAAATCCTAGACCCACCCCCTTGATTCTATTCTAGTTATCATTGGAATCTTTTCTGGATTATTTTGATTATTTCTCTTTTTAGATTCCAAGAGAAGCTTATAAAAGCTCTAAATCACCTATATCTCTTGGTTCATGATTTTATTGTGCATCTTATTAAACTTGAGTTTTAGATATTTTATCTTCTTTTTAGTCTTTGGACTTTTTAGTAGAAAATAGGGAACTAACGAAACTATCAAAGCCTTTACTTTAAGTTTAGGATTAAGCTTTGCTCATATTTAATAAATCAAAAAATTATAATAATAAATTCATCATCCATGTTGAAATTAACTTATAAAAGACTTTAAGGAAATCTCGCTAACTCACTCTTATTAGGATCTAATCGCAGCACATAAAATTCCTGGAGGCAAACATTATTCCCAAAATGTTAACAATTAACATCAGGATTATCCAGAGCGCTTTTAAATTTGAATTTGAGGTAATTTTCGGGAGAACTGAAAACAGACAACCATCTAGATGACAGAGAAGTAAATTGCTTGACACTCCATCCAGTAACATGGCCGAAGTAAGTATTGAATTGTTATTTAACTTTTAGTCGAGGACCTCATATTGAATTGTATTTGGCTGAAGAAGCCATTGGATTAGTTAAGAGTCTTGATTGGAATGTAATATCTGGTCCAAGCATTGAATACCCTGAAGAGGAAAATATTGAAGAGGAAATCATCCTAGAGCTGAAAGATTAGTAAGGAGATGAACATGACTTGCCACAGGAAATAGATAAGAAAAAGATGAAAAAACTCTATGGCTTCGAACAGTATTAGAATTCTCATTTAATCAGTGCAAATTAGATATTTCGAAGATGCCGAACTGAAGAAAAGGGAGATCAATAAGAAATCAGAAATGCAGGTTAGCAGGAAAAAGAACATGCAAGCTTTTAATCATGAAGGGATCAGAGATGGCGACTATGTTTATGGGCCTGAGGAAATCCAGGGTGTATATTTCGTAAGCACTTTTCAATTAGTTTTAATAATCTGTTATAAGAAGAAAGGAGGATTAATATTAGAATTAGACGAGGACCCAGAGGAGGAACTGTTTGATGAGTGGAAAAACGAGTATATTAGGGAGTCAGTAGCAAGGAGTAGTTTAATAAAAGTCAGGAAAATTCATTCAGGCACTTACTTCACAAAAGGTAAACTAAATGAGCTAGGGTACTACCTAAAAGAAAACAAAGAAATAAATGTGGTTTTCATCAATTCAACTTTAACCCCACTTTAACAGAAGAAACTCGAAAAGTATATTATTTTGCTTTTAATTCTTTAGACGATTCAATGACATTATATTGAATAGAGACGATAAGATTAGAAAGTACTATTTAAAGAGTGCTTAGAAAGAAAAATTCAACCCTACTGATATTGATTCTGAGAGTAGCTAAATGTCTGAGCTTGAAATATAAGAGGGGTTTGGCATGAGATAAAGAAAGATAAGAGTCATAGATAGATTTGGAATAATCTTGCAAATTTTTGCAGCTCGGGCAAAGTCAAGGATAGCTCAGCTTTAAGTAATTACAACTATATTTTATACTTATTGCTTAGATTGAATTAGCTTGGTTAGGATATGCTAGAACTATGCTTGTTAGAGGTGGAGCTCCGACATTTGGCTAACTCGGATCAATATTTCAAGGAAATTTGATGAGGCTAGATATCTCTGAGGTAGAGATCAAAAGTGCGAGGGGTAGAAAATCTGGAGGCTCAGGAGTAATGGGCGGTGAAGGTGAAACATAACTAGAAATTGAAAGAAGAAAACTGACTGATAGGGAAACTAAAATAACCAAAGAATTAGCTGATTTAGATCGAAGAGTGCAGAGTGAAAAAATCAAGAAAGAGAGAATTCACCAAACACTGCCATTGATTGGATTGGTAAGAATGATATTATACAATAATTTGGCTTAAGGTAGGATACACTAATGCAGGCAAAACGGCTTTAATAAATCTTGTAACAGGGGCAAAACTAGAAAGCTAGGATTTACTCTTTCAAACTCTAAACACCACAAACAAAAGATTTAGATTCCCTAATGGCTAGAATGCACTAATGCTAGACACAATTGGATTTATAACAAATCTTCCTCATGGATTAGTTGAGAGCTTTAAAGCAACTCTAGATGAGATACACTTTGCTGATATTCTGGTTCATGTTAGAGATATCTCGCATCCCTACTCTAACTATTAGAGAGACACAGTACTTAAGGTTCTTAAAGAAATAGGCGTATCAGATGATACTTTGAGTTCTAAATATGTTGAAGTTTGGAATAAGATTGATTTAATTTAAGGAGGCGAAGATATTATGGATAAAATGAAAGCCGAATAAGCAATGGTAGCTCCATAATATCCCGTAATAATGATGAGTTGTCTTGAGGGTTTGAATAAAGATCTTTTAATGAGTGAGCTTCAAGAGATGTCTTCAAAGTTGATGGGTAAAAAACTGACTAAGATTACCTATAAGTACAGCGATCATGACAAGATATAGAAATGGCTCTTCGAAAATGCCAATATAAGCTAGATTGACGATTTTGAGTTTGATGATGACTCAGGGGACATAACAATAAATATTCCAATTGATGATGTGGTGTTTTAACAGTATCTAAAAAGGTTTCACTCAGATCAATTTGAACAAGAGAAGAATTAGAAAAGCACCATTAAAGGCTTGAAGGGCAGACTCACCCCTCCTCCTGGATGGTGAAGATAATTAAATTGTGTTAATTTATAACTTAACTTAATTCTTATGCTAGCTATTTTACTTTAAACTTAACAATCAAGAATTATTGCTTCCACTATTATCAGTCGCAGTTTTGTAGTTTATTTCCACAAACTCTCCAGGAGACCTAATTATTCTACATATTTTTTCATTGATTCTTTCTATATGAGCAAGTTTTACAGAGGTCTCAAGTGTTCTTCTTGTAAGAGCAATGCATGGCAAACCATAGGGGACTGAACCAACTAAAAAATTGAGAATAGTGTATTAATTACTTTGCATGTTGTAAGGATTAAAGATAGGCGCTTAGGAATGTATAGGTTATCCTTACTTTTGATTTGGATCTTCAAACAGTGTGCTGTTAATAGTCTTAGCAAATCTTAGTTCATCTTTGCCACTACTTTTAGACTTTTGGTTATCATCTTCTTCGACGTCAAACAAATCATCATTGTTATTGCCTTTCTCATTCAATATTACTTTTTTAAATGATTCTACATCTTCATCCAATAAATCACCTCCCATCTGCATTTTTTGTTCCTCAATGATGTCCAGGATCTCTTCCTCATCAATCTTAAACAATTCTTTGATTCCTTCGATGCCCTTTTTAATCTTTTATTTTGATGCCTTGTCAATCATTGGTTTTCCAGTTTCTTCAATCAATTCCTTTGTTATCTCTTACAGTATCTTATCTGTTTCAGACAGATCATTTTACAGTTTTTGTAGCCTTTTTGCTCTAACCTCAGCTTATGATTGCTTTTATTGCGTTGATTGAGAATCGTCTTACTTTTTTTCTTCTTCAACATTATCAGGATTCACTTACTCTTAATTCTCAACTCCTGCTGTTGGAGCAATCTGTTACTGATCAAGCTTGGTTTCTTCTTCAATCTATCTTCTAATACGCCTTCTCCTAAGATTTTAAGCTCTCTAAGCTTAAACCCATCCATTTTCTCTCTCCGTAGACTAGTTTTGCGCTTAAGCTACAGTGTCAAGTTCAATCTTGCATCTACATGTGGGACACTATACATTCTACTCTAGCCATCTTCTCAGACAGTTTAGATGGAATATATGGCCACAGTTCAGCTTCTTTGCTTTCTTAATTTCCTCAAGGCAAATGATGCAAGTATTATCCATTCCAACTAAATCTTCAGCTGAGACATTCGGTAGTTTCTTGAGTTTATTAATAAGTGTTCTTGATTGATAGAATAATTATATAGATTTTCCTAATCTAACAAAGTTGTCTATTATTTCACCTAGTAGATACAAAGGAAATTGCTATCTTGACACAATATATGCAAACAGTTTCTGCAATAATGATGTAAATTAGATTTGTCTTACCATATTCAAAAGTAAAGCACTCAGGTCAAAGATAAAACTGATAATGTTGAATATGAAGCTCTTCTCAGTCCATTGCTCTTTATAGTACAGTTCAACTAAGCTGAGATTATACTTGAAGCTATCCTCCACTGATTTGAGCATTAATCTGAAGAACTATAAAAATACTCATTAGGTTAAGAAATAACACGTGTAAATCAATTGATAAATCTATCTTAGCCATCTGCTTACCTCGAATCCAATGATCACATAGAGTTCATTCATTCTCTCTCCTTTGTATAGGAATTTCTCATAAAAAGTAAAAGATACCAAGAAATCAATCACCACAAGAATCCCGTAGAGCACTAGCAACTTCACATGCTCAGTTTTTCCTCTACTGCCTCTGCTGATAAGGTAGTCACTTCTTTTGTAAACAAGCCAATGCATGATCCAAAATGCAAACAATATTGAAAGTGAGATGAACTTGTAAACATCGAATGTGCCTCTCAAGATCAATATTAACAGAATAAAGTGAAATAGCTTCTTTTGAGACTTGTCCATAATGTACTACAATCATAATAGTTATAATGTGAAACTTTCTTAGATTTTCAAATATATCTTACCTTTGACTCAATAGTTCTAATTTGATCAAAGAAGATCCAGACAAGTAGATTGACAAAGTTGATGAGAACAACCATCAAGAAGTTGAAGAATATCAGTAGATTGATCTTTTAAGATGTCAAGTAAACTACTATATTGTAGAAAGTCTCATACTGCTGTATAGCATTCATGACCATCCCCACAGTGACTATAAGAGTAAAGAACGAGTAAACCTAGAAGTTTAGCATTTTCGCCATAATTTGATTATATTATTTCAATTCTTCAACTTAAAATATGCTGGGATGATGGGGTTTTGGGGTTTTGGGGTTTTGGGGTTTTGGGG